CCCCGAGCCAAGCCCACGCAGAGCGATGGCGCTCCGCGGCCGCTGTCACGGGGCCTGCCCGCTGCCACGGCGTGCGGAGCGGCAAGAAGCAGCAGAAAGGCAGAGGAACGGGGTTTGGGACGGTTCTCCCCCGCCACCCCGCCTGGCTGCAGCTGCTGAGAGTTAGTGCCGTGGTGAGTAGGAGCCTCCTCTTCCAGCACAGAGATGTGCAAGCTCGCCATCGTGCTCCACGAGTGCTGGGTAGCGGGGGAGGGAGGACGGGCATTTGCCGAAGTCCCGGACACTCCTGCAGCAGCGGCAGCTGCTGCGGCATCATGGAGAGAACGGAGAGAGGTGTGCAATGCGAATGGTTCGGTACCAGCCAGTATTCAAAAGGTGAAGACGTTGCTGTCCTCAAGATACCCGTTTTGTTGCATGTTTGTATGGCTAAAGGTATACCGTCTGTGCCCCAAATGGGCTTGTTTCAGGGCCTCATATTTGGGGCAGAACTACATCACAGACAGGTCTGAGGGGGAGGAGCGCAAATCTGAGAGCTCCTCTGATGGCAAGATGATCTTGGTCCATCTGCTGCATGTTCATCTCTTCTTCTTGACCTGTTTGTTTTGCATTCTGTTTTTCATTAAGCATCCTCTACAGAGGTGGGGAAAGACCATAATCCTCATCAAGCTGCATATCATGCTGTGGAATATAAAGAGTAAACAATGCATCTCCTTTTTCCCATTTCTCAGACCTAGGCATTGCAGTACCTGTCAGGGCATTTCCAGCCTGAAACAGGTTTTTCTTTCACTCCTTTGGAATGCTGATGTAGTAGGCACAAGAGGGGTGCAGCCAGCCTCTGCCCTGTGGTAAGATACGTAACACTGGTGCTAGCTCTCGTGATAGTCCTGCAAGTCTGATAATAGTTGGCAGTCTTAGGAAGCTGTCCTGACTTTCATATAAAATTTACCTCCTGGTCATGAAGATGTTAAAAGCATGATGCTAGATCACCCTAAAGGCTCAGCAAGAAAACAATAAATGCAAAGATGCATAGATTTAAAAAAAAAAAAATATCAAGACTCTCAGGCTTCCTTTGTGAATTTCAAAGATGGAAAGTTAGACCTTGGCAGCAATGTGCTTCTTTTTTAGGTGTGGCCTGATTCTGTCACTCAGCTCCCCAGAAGACAGTGATACTGCCTGTGTTTAACACAGTGGGGTAGTCAGAAGCCCTGCAAAGCCCTTCACAAATGCTGGCCTCGCACTGACCATGTTACTCCTGGGAACACATCTCCAGGGCTTTTGAGACCTTGAAAAGCAGAAATTAGAGCAACATAAAACAAGATATTTTCTCTTGCACTGATTTCTATGCACACATTCAGACTCCTGAATTGCAAAGGAGATAGCCAAACCAGATCCACAGGAATAGCACCCCTGAGCTCCCTGCATAATAGTGATCAATTTCTGAGCTGAGTCTTCAGCAAGCCATCAACACTGAGGTTTTTAGCCCACTTCATGGCCAATATAATGTAAATGTCATGTTTTGGAGACTTCACAGTCCAACGGAATCCAGCTGTGTCTACCCAGTCATTGATTCCCAGAGACAACAGTGCCTAATATTGCAGTCAGTTGTCAAAATGGATGCAATTAGGTATTGAATCATATGCTGAAAAGAAATAGTGGTAGTCAAAAAATAGCTATGTTAACTCTTTCTCTACCGTAGCATTTATTTCCGCAAGTGTAGACATTAGTGTTCTTCCCAGTGGGGTGTGCAGTGGCAGGTGCTCCTTAAATGCTGTGGAGTAGGGAAGCAGGGTAAAGCATTGCATCCATTCCCATTCCCATCCCCACTGTTGACATCTGAAAGGGAGGATGAGGGAAGGTGCTGCTTCCTGGCCCTAGTGACTAAAGCACTGTCCTGCCAGCAGACCCCATGTGCCCTCTGTATCCCTCCAGCTACCAGGTCTCAGATTTCCCCCAGACATCACCTGTGATGGCGTTGTGCATTATCAGCTCTGCCAGCTTTGCCTGGAGTTGGAGGACAGTGTACCAGTCAAACCTCATATCACAACAAATAAATTGGACAGGAGCCAGGGCCTGCAGTGCCTTGTGTGGGAGAAACACATCCCATGGGCCATCTGCTGCTGCTAATGTCAAGATTCAGGTGATATTCTGGAAACAGCTATAGCTGTAGGGTGACAACCGTTTTTAGTGTCACAGCATGATGGACTAGAAACATTATCCTCCCTGGTTTTGCCCAGCCACCAACACATCCTGCAGCCAAGCATTTCTCCTCTCCCTCTGCTTCTTCATCTTCTTCTCCCTCTCTTCTTCTCTCCAGTTACACCAGCACCAGCTGTCTTTTCAGGCACTGCATAAATACATCTGGTGAGCTTTCTGTCCACAAAAGTAGCAGGCTGTTTGCAGTGGCAGCTGGAGGTAGAAAGAGTGAAAAAAAAAAACCTCTCTCTGTGCATGTGTCCTCCTGGTCAGCTTTGTTAGTGCATCTCCTGCAGCCCCCATGTCCTCACATCACACCATGATGGCCAGAAGTCACCACACCAGTCCAGGATATCATTTGAGTCCTGTACTCCATGTGGGGCAGCCTCTCTAGCTGACGCCTGCAGCAAGGCAATCTCTGTCTGTCAGATGTGGTTCATCTGTCCATGGGGAAGAACCATGGGCACAGCTGAAGGTCAGGTTTGAGAGGAGCCCATTGGTGTTTGATGTCTGCCTGACACCAAAAGGATTCATTAGGTAGGAGCCAGCGAGGTTTGTCCTCAGCACTGGTGGAGGTGGAGTCCTCTTTCATTAATGGCTTCTACACTTTCAATGAGGAGCACAAAAAGTTGCCAAAACCGGGCAGGACTCAGAAAACTGAGGATGCTGAGGAGCAGGGACTGGCTCCAAAGCTCTATTTACAGACCTTCCTCTGGCTAGCTCCCTGCAGCTCTTGCTGGAAAACATGGCTTACAAGCAGCCAGCAGTTCCTGGAGTCCTGAGGGAAGCAGCAAAACAAATGACATCCTGGAAGGAGGAAAACTGCCCCTGTACAGCCAGTGCTGAAAGATGGGGTAGCAGGATGCTCTCTGTGCTGCTGCTCTCCCAAAGCTTTCTGCTCTCCCTGGGTCCCAGCAAGAACCATGCAGCTGCTGACAGCTATTAATAGATGGGAGAACGTGGGCTCTTTTTCCTACTGCTTCCTGGGATGAATGGTAATTACCCTTAATGAGACTGGATTTGGTTCTACCTCCTACCTTCCAGCCCCCTTGCCTGTGCTGGCAGGGAGAGACCAACCCATCTGCTTCCTGCACTGGCTTTGTGGGGATCAGAGCTTGACAGCAAGAGTGGAGGCTCATCTCCTCAGGACATCCCACAGGCCTTGTTCATGGATACTGGGCACAAGGCAGGAGGCAGAGCCTGCCAGCTGACAGGCTGCAGCTCCCCTCAGCCTGGCCTTTCCAGTGGCACACAGGAGCCCCATGGGGTATGAGATAAATGATCCCACCACAGTATGAGAGTGCAGGTGGCTTGGATGCTCTCTCCTTGAGATTAATTAAAGAAACAAAACAGGGGAACAAATAATCAGGGAATCTGACCCATTGTTGTGATTGGTGTCCCCATCATCATGCATCACACCAAGGTTTGTGAAACGGGGTACCCTTCCTTTCTTGCTGGTACAAAACCAGTCCCAGAATATTCCTAGACTTCCCCAATGTCTTCCACAGGGCACAGTCTAGCTGTCATAGGGTTGATCAGGATATGACCTGCACAAGGGGGATGGTTTTGTTCTTGTCACACCACTGCACCTCTGGCCTGAACTCTGAAGCAGGAAGGTTTCCTTCATTCAGGTTATTTAAAAAATACTGCATAAATAGTACAGGAGGTTTCCTTCATCCACCAGGAGGCTGTGCCTCCTAGGAATCACCTCCAAGTGGATGGAAGCAAATGTAGATGGCTGTTAAATCTTTCTTGTACATCCCAGACTCTGGCTCTGGGGCAGGATATCCTCTGCATTAGTGTTTGCCCAAGATGCTTGCTGAGGCTGCATTTCACAACCCCACCTCTGTGCTGTCCTGTCCACCTGAATAGCCACAGTGCCTCAATGAATCTTTACTGCTCCCTGAAAACTTAGATTTTTCCTTTCTTGGTTCAGCTTAGCAGTTGGTAACTCTTTCCACCATGAGAACCCCTTTCCTTCACTGACCCTTGCTGCTTGCAGCAGGGCAAGAGGAAAAAGGCTGCCCCATCTTGCCAAGCTGAAACTTCCCAGGCAAAACAGTTTATTTGCCTCTTAATTTTTAATTATTTTTTTCCAGATCATAAATTTTCTTGACTGAATAAAAAAAAATCTTCCTGCAGGCAGGATCTGTGCCTGTGGACCTACTGGTTCCCATTTGCAAATCCCTGCCTCCTTTCATCTGGAGCCCTCTTTTTCCCTCTTTTCAAGATCCCTTCAATGTCAGACCAGAAGTTTCAAGTCCCTCTACTGACTCCCACTCAGCCCCTTGTGTTGCATTCCAAGTGCCAGATGGCACTCTAGGCTCGAGAAGGAGCTGTGCCAGGCTCCCCTCCCTTTCTCTCCACCCTTCAATCTACGGAAAAGAGACAGAGAACCAGCACTGCCAGATTTCAGGCTGCCGTGTTTGTACCAGCTTCTGTGGTCTTCAGCCCCAGTTGCGGTGGGATTGACGTGGGAGGTATTGGCACAACCCTGGAGCAAGGGGTGACAGGGAAGAGAGGACCTACTCTGAAGTTCCTCTCTGTGACCAGCCTTGTGTTGTAATTAACAACCAATACCGAGGACACAGCCACTGCTTCCTCCATGCTCCCCTGGCCCTGTTTCCTTGTTTTCTTATTGGAAAATTTCTTGCTTGTCCAGGGTTGCTCACCAGCACTGGGTAACTGCCTGCAAAAGTAGTTACAGGTCTACAGGTCTGAAGGTTTAGCAAGCTCCTCTTGGGCAGAACAAGTGCCCAGGCACCCTATATCGAAATGAGGAGGAGGAGGGGAAAAGCAGAGCAACTTCCCTACCAGAAAGTGGGTCACAAAGGTTGTGGGCAGCAAAAACATCTCTTTGTCAGTCCTGCTGGGAGCATGGGGTTGTGTTTGGACAGCAAAAGGAACTTGGGGAGGATGTGATCAGATTTTCCCAGCTTTTCTGCTTCAGATAGCTGCGTTAGCACAGTGCCTGCTGCTT